TCGAGGCAGGGTCTCTCACTTGAAAACAGAGTGTGCTGATTCTGTCCTATAACTAGGCAGCATGCTTTGGGGATTCCTTTGTCTCTATTTCCTGGATGTGTGGGGTACCAGACCTACTCAGCTTTTGTGCGGGTTCTAGGGAATCCAACTGGGTTGTCAAAGTTGCACGACAAGACTTTGCCCACTGAGCCATGTCCTCAGCCCCTATACCAACATCTTTAAGAAAAAATAAAAGGAATTCAGGCAAATATATGAATGTATCCAAAATGGTGTCAAGACTGAAATCTTAGGGCCAGTATATGGGATTCGAGCTTGTCTGTCTACTCATGTATGTATTTGATTATTTTAAAATCTCAAAACTTTAAAAACAGGCGATAAAGCCCAATATGTTAAAAAGAACTAACAGGGCATGATGGTGCATGACGGTAATCCCAGTACTCAGAGGGCTGAGGCAGGAGAACTCCAGGTTCAAGGCCATCGGCCATCATGTAGTAAGACCCTGTTTTTCAACAACAAACAAATACAATAAAAAAACTACTATCTGGCTCATGCAATATGTCACATGTCACCAAATGCAACTCTTTTAAAAAAATATTTCATGGACTGGAGAGATGGCTCCACTCCACAGTTAAGCACACTTGCTGTTCTTGCACAGGACCTGCGTTCAGTTCCCAGCACCCATATGGCAGCTAACAACCATCCTTAGCTCTAGTTCTAGGGGACCTGATACCCTCTTCTGGCCTCTGTGGGCCCTGCACATGTGTGGTACACTCACATCCATGCAGGCAAAACACTTAATACAATAAAATTAAAAATAACTAACTAAATAAAATTTAAACATATTTAACTCATCACACCCAGAACCAGTGAGCCCTTCTACACAGGCCATGAAGCTGTGCGGCAGCTCATGTTAGATAACCGGACATGTTACCTGACAATCTTTTAACGCATTCTGGACAGAAGTTTGATCACCAATTTCATGCTGTTGTCTCAGTTTCTTTTCCTGTGTGTTAAGCCAAGTTTTCAAACACTGTATATTATTTTCATATTCTGACCAAGACTCCAACAAGCCTTCCAACAGCTGGATCTGAACAAAGAGAAAGAAATGAAATCTGAAATTTTATTTCAAATTCAAACCATTGCATATGAATGACCCAACACTATTTCTTCTAAGCTAAGAATTCTTGAGAGAGTAATCAGGTATTAGAGGGAATTTGCTTAAAGTACATTGTATAAGTTCATGAAAATGGCCTTACATAACTTAGTATAACAAAATTAAGACTAAAATTTAAAAAAGAGAATTCTTTAAAATAAAGTTTGTTGTGTATATACATTAAGAAAATGAATTTACCAAATTTTAACCAATGACTATTGAAGCGAGGAAGAAAGGACTATGGTGAACCTGAGGTGAAAGGAAGAGAAATTAAGCATCTTAAAAATAAAATAAAAAAACATGAGGAGCTGGAGAGATGGCCCTGCGGTTAAGAGCATTGGCTGCTCTTGCAGAGGACTTGGGTTTTGTTCCCAGCACCCACATGGTGGCTAATAACTATCCCTAACTCCAGTTCCAACAGATCTGATACCCTCTTCTGACCTCTGTAAGCATTACACGACATGAGTACACTTACATACATGCAGGCAAAACACTCATACACACAAGAAAAAAATAAATAAGACTTAAAAACCAGAAACAGGGGGCTGGAGAGGCTCAGTGGTTAAGAGCACTGGCTGCTCTTACAGAGGACTGGGGTTCGAATCTCAGCACCCACATGGCAGCTAAAAACCATCTGTAACTCCAGTTCCAGGGGCTCTGGCATCCTCCTCTGTCTTCTGTGGGTATTGCACAAGACAAGTCCACTTACATGCAGACAACACTCATACACATAAAATTAGAATAAAAATCATAAAGAAAAAAATCAGAAACATGAAATACACAGAGGGCAGGCTGCATAAGACCAGACCAGGACCAAAGAAATCCAGATCTAGGCAACCCTCAGTGTCAGCATGGGAAGATCTGTCATGCCCTCTGCAGCTACTCTGCTTGCAAAATGTGTTTTCCTGACAGTGTGTCTGTTCTCAGGAGTTTGTGTCAATATCCTGGTGGCAGGTCACCTGACTCACCTTCTCAGCCACTTGGCCTTGCAGGAGTTGCCAACTTTTATTCATGGCTCCAAGCTGCTCAGCAAAGTCAGTCTTGTCACTGCGCTTGCTTTCTACATCCTGACTGCTGATTTGTAGCACAGATTGATTCACAAAATCTGCTGTCAACTGTTTACAGTTCAGGTCTATCTTGAAACCCTAAAAGAGAGATGAGAGAATCACACCACAAGGTTGCATGTGTATTTTTCCAGGAGGTGGAAAGCCTTTCAGAGCCTTCATGTGACTGTTATCACTCCCAACACTTCATCCAAATGATACAATTTGTGTTTCTTCACATGACCTGTTATATTGACAAAACATCATGACCAACACAACTTGTAGGTGGAAAGCTTATCGGGCTTATGGTTTCAGAGGGTTAAGAGTCTATCATGCTGGGGAAGGCCTGACAGGAGGTCATTGGAACAGAAAGCTGAGAACTCATTATCTTTAAACATGCACAGGAAGCAGAGTGAGAAAAGCCAGAAGTGGGCAAGGCTATAAACTCTCAAAGCTCACCCCCAGTGACGAGGTTCCTCTAGCAGGGCTACACTTCCTAATCCTCCACAAACACTGCCATCAATCTGGATCAAGTATTCAGATACCTAGAGCCTATGGGGGAGATCCTTCATTCAAATCACCACACGTATCATGTTAGGAACTTGTATATGCTTATAAAATTATACACAGCTAATATATGCAGAATACATAGAATTGGGTAAATTCAACCTTTCTATAAAATATTTATAAATGTAATACTTTTATAATTTTTATGACTTTTTTAAAGCAAAAAAAATTATTCAGAGTTACTCCTAATGCTGGACTACTTTTCTGTGTGCTGGAGTTGAAGAAGAAAAGGCCCCCCCATGGCTCAGATATTTGAATGTTTCATCCCAAGCTGGTGGTACTGTTTGAGGAGGTTACAAATCCTTTAAGAGGTAGAACTTTATGAAGGAAGTACATCACTGGGGGTGAGCTTTGGGTTTTCTAGCTGGCCCCACTTCCTGTTCGCTCTCTCTCTGCTTCCTGTGAACACAGGATATGATCAGCCAACGTCTTGCTCCTGTTGTTGTGCCTTCCCCACCATGATGGACTGTATCCCCCTGGAACTGTAAGCCAAAGTAAATTCTTCCCTAAGGTGCTTTTGGTCATGGCATTTTATCACAGCAGCAGACAAGCAACCAATACACTGTGCCTATAACTAAGAATTCTGGTTTTGATTTTTGAATATCTGTCTACTGCATTTGGAATATATACAATGCAAGTTCTAGTTTAAGTATCTGAACACTTTCAAATAAAATAGGTTAAGTATGTGAAAAATGCAAAATGTCAATTACCTTATATTTCTGAAGGTATTCATGAACTGCCTCATAACCTATTACATTTTTTATGTTCTCTTCATCCTTCCTGATAACACTTTCCATTAGTGAAATCCAACTCATGACCTCAGAAATGGCATGGCGGGATGGCAGCTTGTCCATCTGGAGCTGTCCAGGCAGACACAAAATGAGTCTCTGTGAGTTCAAGGCCAGCCTGGTCTATGTAGTGAGTTCCAGGACAGCTGGGGCTACAGGGAGACCCTGTCTCAAAAAGACAAAAAAACAAAAAACAAAAACAAAAAATAGAACATGGCCATACCATGCATTCTTGTAACCCTGAAGTTAGGGGATTGAGATAGACAGATACTGTGAACTCAGTGACCAGCCAGCCTCATCAAAATGGTGAACTTGGGTTTAGTGAGAGACGTCTGAAGGGAATAAGGTGGAGAGTAATACAGGAAGACACCTTATGCCTTCCTCTGGCCTTTGTATGTGGGTACATGGGTGCACATGCATATACACACACTGCGCACGTGCATGTGCACACACTCACACAAGTGCATTTTAAAGTTAGTTAGGCCTGACATGTTAGTATATGCCTATAATCTCAGCACTGGGGAGGTTGAGGCAATAGGATTGAGAGTTCAAGGCCATACTGAACTATTTTACCAGTCCCAGGCCAGCGTGGGCTACATAATCAGACCTTATCTCAGAGAGAAACAGAGAGAGAGAGAGAGAGAGAGAGAGAGAGAGAGAGAGAGAGAGAGTGGGAGAGATGATTCAGTGGTTAAGAGCACTGGCTGCTCTTCCAGAGGACCAGGGATGGGTTTTCAGCACCCATACAATGGCTAACAGTTAACTTTAACTCCAGTTCCAGGAGATCTGATGCCCTCTTCTGGCCTCTAAGGGTATTGTATGACATGGGTGTACTTATTATATACACGCAGGTAAAACATTCATGTACATAAAATAAAAATTTATATAAACACATAAGTAAATATGTAAACATTTATAGATCAAATTCTATGTGGTGTTGAAAGGCAGATAAACGTGGAATTGATCCTCCCTTCTATGAATGTATAACTGATCATAGAGAAACAGCCTGTATATTAAAAATATTTGCCATACCTGATCCACAGTGATGAATGTTAAAGAGACAAAAGGATAACAATTTTCCAGGGTTTCAGGGGAGTTAAGACACACTTCCAAAAGAGGAATCCAGTCCTGAATAATGATGTCTATTCAATGTCCAGTCCCAAATATAATGGCAGAACCACAAGGCTGTGATGTAACCTAATGATGCTATAACAATCTGCTTTTGTTGAGCACATGCTAACGTTTGAATAGTGACAAAATGTCCCAAAGATAGACATCCCAGAGTGTATCCCTGCTATAAATGATGCATAACTACCCAAATGGAAGATGTTTCACACTTGCTATAGATTTCTGTAACTTTGTATAAGTATCCACAGTTTATTCACAAAATCCAGTTTAAATAACATAAATGATTCTAACACACACACACACACACACACAATGTGGGGGTTCACTGTGGGAAGAAATCCTGTGTGGGAATGAGATTTTCCAAAATGGTTCATTTTTAATATGTAATATATTAGCAAAGAGAAAAGACAAGTCTGAGTTAATGCTGATTAATATTTGTGAGCAAAATCAAATTAACTTGATTTTGCATTATATGGTTTAGATCAATCATTATCAAATAAACTACCCCCATCTCCATACCTGGTGGAGCTTCTCCTGTACGGCAGGAATATTCGTCAGTAGTTTAGTCCACTGGCTGTCCATGCGGGACAGCTCAGCACGAAGGGCAGCTGTGTCCACTTTCTTTAACCTGAGAAGTTGATTTCCAGTGCTCATGACTGATGATTTCAGGGAAGATTTGGCATCTACTTCCTTAGAGAACTCCTAAAAAAAAAAAAAAAATGTAGCAGTGTTCAATTAGGACTAAATGGCTAGACTTTCCGTTTAAGAATAGAGGCCAACCTAGTGCACAGAGCAATTTCCTCCACATCTTAAGGAGACTATAATGTGAAATATTTTGGAGGAAAGTAAAAACAGTATGCCTTTGCCGCCCCCCCCGCCATGCTCAGGATAGTTAACCTGTTACTTGAAAACTACTTGAAAGAAGTAAGGTTGAGCCCCACACAGTTAATAACAGAAAGTTCACTACAACTTAGCCTATTTGCTATGTCTGTTGACACCCAACTTCCTTTATACTGGCCCACAGGTCAGGTCTGAGGAAAAAAAAAAATTAGTCAAATGTCTTAAGTTCTCAGACTCACAAGGAAAGCATTGAGATGATCACGGACCATTTTGAGTTCTTGTGGGACTGTCACAGATTGCTGAGTCCAGAATGAGAGCCTTTCCTTCGCAGACTGCAACCAGTGACTCAGATCTGAAGACTCACTTTGATACCTATAAGCATAGTAAAGACTCGTTTAGTGATCCAACCCCTTTTGTCTTCTGCCAGTTAAAACAAGAGACCCAAAAGATTCATAAGAAAAGTGCATGAGACTGATGCTCCAAGATCTTTTCTCTTAATATCTACATCTTGATTAATCTGTCCTGGGTTTTAATTCTAGGCCGAAAACAAGAACGTCTTTCTCTTTCTTTGCATTGATTCTGTAGAGAAATAACAGGCGATGGCTATGAAAAGCTGTTTGAAATAAAGGTAGCATAGAGACTGTGTTTCATTCCATAAAATTCAAATATCCATGTCCCTTGAATGCTTCCTGCCATGGTCTCTGTTTGAAGCATTCCCCACAGCCTCATTTGTGGAAGCTTTGGTCCACAGTTGGAGGAGCTATTTTGGGAGGAGATGGAAACCCAGAGCATTGGAGTGGAGAGGAACTAGAGGAATGACATCACAGAGAGGAGCTTCTGATGGTTATCATGCATCTGGCCTTTTCCTGTTTCTCTCTTCTTCCTCTAAGATGAACAGCCTCCTTTGTCATATGTTCTTGCCACTGTAATAGTCTATCTTGCCCCAGGATCTAAAACAACAGATCCAGCTGACCTTGAACTGAAACCTCTAAAATATGAGCCAAAATGAATATTTCCATCTGTTAGAAATTGTTTTTTTTAAAAATATTTTATTTATTATTTTTTATATGTGTATGCATGTATTGCCTGCAAGTAGATAAGTGCACACATGTTGTACAATGCCCACGGAGGACAGAAGAGGCTGTCGGATCCCCTGGGACTGGAGTCACAGACAGTTGTTAGCTGCCATGTGGGTGCTGGGATTCAAGCCAGGGTCTTCCGCAAAAACAGCCAGTGTTAACTACTGAGCCATCTCTCCAGCCCCCAGAAACTGTTTTTTTCTCAAGTATTTGTAATAGCAATGAAAGCCCCATTGTCCTTGAGAAGCAACCCTTTAATCACCATTTTTTCTGTCTCTCCTTTTTACAGTGACCAGGCAAGGTGGAGGAGGGTGGGAGAGGTGAAAACACAAAGGTTGCTGCATTATGCTCCTTTCTCCCTGATAGTTTTAATTCTATGTTTACATGAACGGAACCAACCAGGAGCCTTCCAGTTGTCTTTATCTTCCAAACTGTCATTTTCCGAATGCGCATATCATTTCTGGGCCCAGCATTCCTTAGTTTTATTAACACACCGCACCAATTATCTAAACATTATGCCAAATATGCTTCCTGTTACCTGGTCCAGTGTTTCAATATGGTCTCCAGTCTGTGGAGTTCCTTGGACACTTTGTTGGCATTATTGAGCCAGCGCTCTCCAAGTTGATTGAGCTGACTTTCAAGATCTGAACAGCTGACAGACATCAGAAATCGTTTTCCATTGTCTGACACTTGGTATAATATGGGCTGGTATTCATTAAGGCTGGATTTTAAATGCTAAAATGATTGATTGACAGTATTGTGTTAAAAATTTGGCTATTTAATTTTTTTTGTCCTTGAGAATTAAATTTCTCTGATCTTTACAACATTGCTATGATCTGTTATCCACACACAAATTATATTCACTCAGCAACTCTGAAAACTTGAAGATGTACATGTTTTACTTTTATTTTCATTTTGTTAGTAACTTTAAGTGTATTTACAACTGTCAAACTTAATTATCTCAAGAATACTGTGACAACAATATAAACTACAGGAAATGCTCAGTGGAGGTTTGGTGAAAATGATTTGAAAGCTTTCAAAAAGAGCTTTCTTGTTACAAAAAGACATTTGTTTTCTATTCTCTATCATCCACCTACCTATCAACTATCTATCTATCTATCTATCTATCTATCTATCTATCTATCTATCTATCTATCTATCTATCTATCTATCTATCTATCTATCTATCTATCTATCTATCTATCTATCTATCTATCTATCTATCTATCTATCTATCTATCTATCTATCTATCTATCTATCTATCTATCTATCTATCTATCTATCTATCTATCTATCTATCTATCTATCTATCTATCTATCTATCTATCTATCTATCTATCTATCTATCTATCTATCTATCTATCTATCTATCTATCTATCTATCTATCTATCTATCTATCTATCTATCTATCTATCCATCTATCTGCTAGCTAGATAGCTAGCTATCATCTATCTCCTATATATCATCTATCTATCATCTATCATCAATCATCTAATTATTTGCAGGACTGAGGTTCTAACTCAGAGTCTCATCTTGTTAGGCAGGTACTCTATGCCTACCATTGAGCAACAGCCCAGCCCAAGAAAGATTTAAAAAAATAAGAAACAGTGATTAAACTCAGTGGGTCGCACTGAAAAAGAAGACATGCAAAGGAGGAGAATTTGGGAAGAAGGTTCTGCCTGAGATGGAGGGGATGAGAAAGAAGAACTGGAGAGGGGAAACTAAAATTCACGATATAAATGTATGAAACTGTCAAACAACATTTAAAAATAAAAACCTCATAATATAAATAATACAAATACAATCTGTGTCTATAAATGCCAATAACTCTAAGGAAAAGTATTTAATGGAATATTTCACCACAAGCTTGTTAAATTCTGTTAAAATTACTGGCAAATTTCTAAGAGAAATGTTGTCACTCATAACAAGGCACCCTTGGGATCCTGACCTGGTAGAGGCTTGTCCTTTTCTTGAGTCTGTCCTCACTCTCCTCCACCAGGCCGACACTCAGGATGCTGTTTTCCACCGCCTCCAGCTGTCTGCTGAGCGCCTGTAGATCCTCATCCAGATGGGACCACGTCTAGAAACACAACATTAGTTGCTATAATCCCAGCACTAGGGAGGCTGGCAGGAAGATCAAGAGTTCAGGAGTTCAAGGGCAGCAAGACCAGGTTTCAGAAAAACAAAAACAAAAGCACAACCAAAAAAGGAAGAGTATTCCTCTTTTTAGTATAAAATGTATACTTGATTTGCAAACTTTTTTTTTTCTATGTCAGGGGAGGGTCGTTGGTTCTTACTTTGGTTAGGTATAAAGAAAGGAATGCAGTGATGACCTTTCCAGGCATCCTGAATGGGCACAGGAGTTCAGGAGTTCAAGGGCAGCAAGACCAGGTTTCAGAAAAACAAAAACAAAAGCACAACCAAAAAAGGAAGAGTATTCCTCTTTTCAGTATAAAATGTATACTTGATTTGCAAACTTTTTTCAAGCTATGTCAGGGGACTTTGGTTGATGCTTGCTTTGGGAAGCTGTAAAGAAAGGAATGCAGTGATGACCTTTCCAGGCATCCTGAATGGGCACAGTGTCTGCAACCAAACTAGCTGTATGGGTCAGTTACTAAACTTACTAAACTTCTCTGAAATCTTTCCCCAGATAAGCTTTAAATGAGAATGCTGTTTACAGTGTACATGGTATCTGGCATGCATGGCTCATTCTTTATCACATGAAGGGTTTAAGTAAAAGAGATGAATGTGTTTGCTCTTCACATAGCAAGTAAATATAACACATTTGAAAATAAAACTTAAAATATAAACAAAATACAACTATGAATATCTAGTGTAGATATTTTTATTCAAGAAAAATGCCAACATTTCTATATTTTTATTTATCTATTTATTTTTTGTATGTGTTTAGTGTGTGTGTGTGTGTGTGTGTGTGTGTGTGTGTGTGCGTTTGGTCTGCATGTGAGTGTTAGCCCAAAGCAAGTGTCTCCCTCGATCACTTTCTAGCATAATTACTGAGGCAGGTTCTCTGGTTGAACCCAGAGCTCATCAATTCCAGCTAGTCTAGTTGGCCATCTTGCCACAGCAATCCCCTTCTTCTAACTTCTGGTTGTTGGACTTATAGGTGATTCCATCCTACAAGATTTTACACAGTTTTGGAAATCTAACCTCTGACCCTCATGCTTGCAAAGCAAGTACTGCATCAACTGAGCCATTTACTCAGTCCCAAGAGATAAATTATTGCTAAATTATGATTTCATTTTATTTAAAACAAGAAAAACTATTTTTAAATCAATTGAAGTCTTTCCCAATAATATATATAGCAAGTGTCACAGTTTCCTGTGCATGTTTATTTTACAGTGCAGTCCGAGTGGCAAGTGGACCTAACAGTAAACATCCATTCTTTTTCCAACATACTTATTTTTCTTCAGGCAGTGTGCAAGGCCTAGGGACCCTAGCAGTAAATAAAAGACACACCCCACTTTTTTCTTGAAGCTTATATTCCAGTGAAGAGACAGAGGCGATCCATAATAAAAGAAAAATTTTAAATGTAAATGTTGAGTTGAGCTTAGAGGGAATGCCTGGGTGGTAGTCATGTGTCTGCAGTTAAATTATGTGTTCAAGTGAATCTCACTGAGAAACACATTCCAGGTGATAAAACCAGACAGACGTGGTGACTGCTGATTTTGTTATTAATCAATCATGTGCCTTGCTAAAACATTGCTCCCAAAGCCAATCCTCAAAGAGGGATCTACAATATACCTTACAGGGTTATGATAAAGTTTGATAGGTTCATATAAATGTCCTTAGCTGACAGACTGATAGACCACTGAACAGTTGATATTATGATAAGGGCTTCAAATATTAATAACAAATTTAACTCTAAAATATAATAATACATTGGGGAATTCCATGTCTAGAGTTTGGAGTTAGAGTTATAATAATGTTGGCCCAGGGATGAAGATATATTTAGAAAAATATAAAGATGAATTATAGCCCATGAGATAGGCTGGTTAATGCTGAAGAGTGAGTGAAGGCTATAAAGGGAAGAAACATTTTAGCCATTAAACTTCCATGGAAAGAGGAAGCGAACTGAAACAGTTTAGGACAACTGACCCGATCACTAAACAAGGACGGGGGTTGATCTATCAGTGACATCTTACCCAGAGTTCTTCAGCTGATTGGTTAGCCTTTGTGGAACACCTATTTGGTATTCAAGGTAATATACTTATGGTGAAGCTAAGACTCAATCCAATCCTCTCTGAATCTAGAGCAGTGACCTGCAAACTCTTTCCAACAATACACCACATAGAAAATATTTTCAGCTTTGGGGATCATACAGTAACTACTGCAACTAGTCACATCTGCCCACTGGGTGAAGGCAGCTCTAGATTAACATGCAAATTGATAAAACTATTATGTTCAAATAAGCTTTACCAAAAAGCAGGCTACATTTGGCCCATGGGTCAATTCCTGTTCTAGAATAAGAATCCTGGCGGTAAATGACTGCCTTCTTCCTATCTATAAGAGTTAGTGTTTAAAATGCTTTATCCTGCCTGCTGTGAAAATGTCTCTCTGTGTTCTGATTGCCAGTTGCTTGTCAGTTCTCTCACTGGGCCAGTGAGAGCAGAGTCCTGGGAATATTTTTGTGTTCCCTGTGCCTGGGAATCTGGTGGCTACTTGATAAATAAATATTTCATTCCTTCATTTGTGAGGAATGAATGAACAGGGGTGACTAACAGAACAAGGGAATGGGATTTCTCAGTAGCCTTCTGGAACAGGCAGAACAGGGCATTCTGACCTATAACTAAGAACATCATACATAACAGGCGAATAGGAGATGGTGAGCTGCCCAATGTGAGTACTGAGCTGCCCAGTGTGGGTACTGGGAACCAAACTTGGGTTTTCTGCAAGAGCAACAAATACCACTCTGACTGCTGAATCATTTCTCCAGCCCCTGGGATACTGTTTGAGGGCATATGAATCCTTCATCCTTTTGCTTCCAGAGCATAAAGATTGGTACCCAGCTGGCTGTCTTCTGGCTTCTAGTGACAGCCTTATCACAAGAACAACTGCACTGGGGACAGAGCCAGGGATGTGCATTTTACATGTTTCATGCTCCTAATCTGGCTTTTAGCTTGAAGACCAAGTCCCTCCCCTGGTCCCACCCCAAGCCTGCCTCATCATGCACACTCTGAGATCAGTATTCATCCATCTGACTTACAATGTAGTACAGCTTATACTGAACATAAATAGGAAGTACAAGGGCAACATAGCAACCTGGAACTATAGGAAAAGTATAATTCTGAGCAAGGTAGCACAGATGACTCTACTTTGAAGTCAGAAAGATGCTGCATGGGCAGTCTCAACTCTAGAATATATTCCAGATGCATACCTCTCTACTTTGAAGTCAGAAAGATGTTGCATAGGCAGTCTCATCTCTAGAATATATTCCAGCTCCACACCTCTCTTGTGAGCCTGCTTCAGCACAGCGGATGCCTGAGCCATCAGTTCTATGTGGAACTGGGTTTCCTTCCCAACTGCAAAGCTGATGGTCTTTCTGAAGAGTGTTTCAGTGAAAATCATATGAGACTCCAGGCCCTGAAAGTATTCCTGCAATATTGGCAGGGGGAGGGGGGGTGATAAAAGGAGGTCAATAGCTCATTCATACATCATCTCAAGATCAGAATTGCTTCAATCCCCAAAGATAACACATCTAATACATAGGGGGACTCATTCAACCCCTTCTAGCCACCTTAGCTCAGCTGTTTCCTGAATGGGATTTCTGGAGACACGAAGCTCTGAGCTCCTGCTAGCCTTCCCTCTTGACCCCACTCAAGTACAACTTGCTTAATAATTGTGCTGGAGACATTAATCACGCATACAAAGTTCTTCATGACTCTCTTTCTCTGTGACCAGCTGCTAAAGGAGACTCTCCAGCCTTCCAACATCGCATTTCACATTCTGAGACCTTTCTGGCTTCCATGACACAGTTACTGACTAACACACCACAATACTGCCCTCCTATGTCCCTCGGACACATTATCTCCATATCCTCATTCTCAGCTGATGTTACCGTATGACACATTCAGTGTCTCTCTTTTCTCCATGTCTGGGCGTGAGCCCAATTTTTTTCAGCTTCCAGAGTATTCGTTTTGTTTATAATTTGTTTGCCAAGCAGAGCTGAACTTATACTATCAAATAGTTTGAATTTCCTTTGTATTTTACCTCCATACAGCAGAATTATGAGAACTATTTTTAAAATGTTATCTTTTATGTAAATAGATTTGGAGGGTGGAGGTGAGCCTCACCCTGTCCCATTTCGTATGCCTGGCATGCATATAATCGAAGAATTGAAAATTGACAATAACAGCCCGCTAACACTGAGTTCTTACTATTTGTTGGGGGCTACATAAACTCTTTACCCTACTCATGGCAGATTTATGCCAACTCTATAGCTCTACTGAATAGTTTTAGTTCCCATTTTACAGACGAGAACAGAAACCAGTTTAACCCAGCTTGCATAAAGTTATACAGTTAGGGGCAACAGAGCAGGGGTTTGAATCTGCATCATGATTGTACCTATGTTCCATACCAACACTATAGACATGATTGTACCTATGTTCCACACAAACACTATAGCGGTCTCCCTCAGAACATGCACTGGACAATAGAAGCTAGATTTAATATCATCATCATCATCATCATCATCATCATTTTGTGCTACTGGAAATCAAAACCATGGTCCCATGTATGATACGAAAGCACGCTACCATTCAGATGTATTCCCAGACCATACTTAAATTTCTTATTTTGAGACAGGCTCTCATTTACTTAGGCTGAACTTTCTCTTTAGCTCTTGAACTTGTAATTCTTTCTGCCTCAGCCTCACAAGTAGCTGGGATTACAGGCTTGGAACACTAAGAACGACATGTAATCATTATTATTAATCAGTCATTATTTGGTAAAATAAAGTTGGAAAAGACATTGGAGGCTATTACAGCCAGCGTGCATCGAGAACGGACCTTCCTTTCAACACAAGCCCATCTCTCTGGATATCTTGGCTGCATTTCCCATGGCCCAAAGGGTCCTCAGTTCAGCAGCAGTGGCAGTGAGGCAGCCCATTCCTTTTAAGCTCTTCTCTTACTGAGTTTTGTTTCTCTGATATTTTCTTACTCATTGATCTTAATTTCCTTCTGGAATAACTCAGAATGATCTTTTATTACTATGGTCAGGTCTGAGAAAAACCAGCTGTGAACTTTAAAGCAGTGTTCTCTCAAAGCCAAATGATAAGGCTTTAATAAATCATAAAACTTTGCACAAAAACCTCCGGGGGGAAAAATAGCAGAAGGCACAATCACCTCCCCAACCCAACAAAATAAGCCACCAGGGAAGTACATAATGGTAGAGTTTTAGAATCATCTATAACCCAGTGGGATTTTTATGTTGTCCTTCAGGGAATTCCCATGGCCTGAGAAACTGGGTTTCTGAACTGCTAAACTTTTCCATGGTCACTGCTAAAAATGCACATGTTCTTTTAGGGAGGGGTGTGTGTATGTAACAGGTATTTCTTTATTAAGGAGCAGTGTCCAAGCTGAACCTGGTTTGGGCATACACTGACGGAGCAATCTCAGGGTTCCCAAGTTTGATGATGTAGTAAAAGGTCCTGACATCCTCAGGACAAATCTCTGAGGCCAACAGCAACTACAGGAGAATGTGCTTAAGAGCCAGGAGAATGGAATGACGCAAGTAGTAAACATCAGCTCATTCCCACAGCTGAGTGGGCAGCTTTACATTCCCAGAGTGGAGCACAGAGTCCTTGCCAGGACAATGGAAGGCAGAGAGAGAACCCAGGGTTAGATGGAAAAGAGGCTCTAAAAGACAACTGTGGGGTCAGGGGGTGGAGGAAACTGGAGAGTTGGCTTAGTGGTTAAGAACACTGGATGTTCTTGCAGAGGACCCAGATTCGATTCCCAGCACCTATATGGTGGCTAACAACTGGCTGTAACTCCAGTTACAGTAAATAATATAACATGAAAAAAAATGTTTGGAGAAAAGTAAAATTAGAGTTTTTATCTCATGTCAGACACCAAGACAATTCATTCTGATTGAAAAATAAAAATTCAGGGCTGGA